CGGTCGTGGGCTGTCGAAGAGTTTTCAGCAACCTTGAGTAGTTTCCTTTAGGAATGTCCTCTGTTTTAGGGTGGGTACTTAGCATAATTACAAATCAAATATAAAACATACTGTAATTCAATTCCATCGAATGCGATACACAATAAAGGAAAAATCCGGATAAGAACAGAGGTAACTGGGTAACGAAAAGCGGGAGATTGAAGCGACGAACCATGAAAGGTTCACACTGATCTGGGAGCCAAGACTTTATCGGATGAAAAACATGCACGCATGTACACACAGACAACCCACCAGGTGCAGACGAGCCATCCTTGTCCGCTTTAGAGGCCTTGATGACTTCGTTACGTATGGAAAACAGTTCGAAACTGTTCTCTTTTGTTCGTTCTTGTGATAAACGAATACTGAGTCCATCCAAAGGAATCACCCCTTTGACGTTGCGCTGACGCTAGAATAAAAGAGATCTCTGGTGAGTTGCAAGGGTGGTAGCACTAGTTCGAGCAACTGTGATATATAGCATTCAAACAAACAAGCCCACAGCTTTCACAAAAAAAGTTGTCCTGTCCAGCCATTGTTAGGTTTAGTTGACGGAGGCGTTGATCAGTTTGAGAAAGGCAAGCGGTTTAAGGCAACTGTACAATGTTTAAAGAACAACGTTTTGGAGTATTTCAAGACACTCTTGTCTGTAGCGGTCTTGTCAAGAAACAGTATACTGAGTTCACCCCAGACAAAAAGACCATGCGTTCGCATTTTTGGCCGTTAGCGAAGAACGAATTGAGAGCAATAAGTTGATGTTGTATTACTAATATCAATGCTTAAGAACGCCAATTCGAAGCAACAAACAGCATCTGAGTAAAAATAACTTCCGGGCCTTTTTAGGGCTATCCATCCGAATTCCATTGCAATCTTGACGTGGTAGTCCTGCTCGTGAGCTGCCATGACTCTGCAGGCTACACTTGTTAGGACGTCATTCCACTACGTTCATGGATAGCGGCCAGACCGACTGCAGCAAGCTCCACTCCGTAACTGTTCCCTTGTGCTTGCGCTGTAAGCACTTGTGTTCGGTCCGGCATGGTAATTCATACATTTACCTGTAACTTGATGCTTTGGTACCGGAGCCATGGAAATCAATTTGGACTCTGGTTTCTTAGTGCTCCAAAAGGAACAGTTGTACAAGTTTTGTTCTTTGAACAATGATGCAACAGGCCCACACAAAAAGAACGCATCACTTTGGTAAGACGAATGTTCAATGTTGCCCGAGCTAGCAATCTACTGGCAATCCACTGGACGACCGACATTAGGTTATGGTCCCGTGATGTCGCAACTCTGTGAACGATGCCCAAACATCAGTAAGTGGGAAACCACAGTTTTTGTCTAGCCTACCGATTGTTTCCCAAACTTTCCGAAAACATAGTTTTCGTTGTCACTACAGCAACACCAAATTGATTAGCTTTTGGGCAAGATATCGTTGACCAAGTGAGTACCTGTATATGCATGGAATACCATGCGGAGAGTAGGTGCAAAGGTATTTTCCACTGGTTGCAAGAATCGTTTAAACATTTCACATTATCGGCAAAACTTGTCAAGGTGACGCAACCGAAAACGCTTGAAGCAGAGGTAATTCATGACTCTGGAGTCTAGGTGTGATTCTTCAGTCAAGTAAGCCTCGTAATCCACAGAGTCTAATATTCAGTAAATACTAACACATAAGCTCTTTTCGATTTCGAAAATACTAACTGTAGGTTGGAAATAACCGTCGTAATCACATGGCTCCATGAGAAAGTGACACCCAAAATGTTTGCATTGTGAAGTGAAGTGGTGGAATTCACAGTAACGTTTCCTTTATTACGATCATTCCAAAGTATCATGAAAACTATGTACCCTGGATACCGTCAAACTACCCTGCCCAGATATACAATCGCCAAAGCACTTGATGAAATATACTATTGCGGCGCGTTTCAGTTGCGTCATCGACTCTTTCCGTGCGTGTCTTCGATGTTGACTTCGTGCACGTGAGCCAGGTTCGTTTAGCTGAATGGCATCAGCGACGCGAGCTGTTTCTAACTTACATATGCAACTCTGAGCGAACTTGACCAAAAGCTTTAAGTTCTTACTTGATTCACTGTGGTGTCTTATGGTAATCCTTATAGGTACACCTCACGGTATACATCTGTGACATCAAAACAGGTAGCATACCTATTACTTAATGCCATTTATAGGTAGTGACACTGTTGCCAATGACTGTGACTTGTTGCTTCAAAGGCGAATCAAGGAGTTCGTCAGAGGAAATTCTGCCCACACAATTAGATTGTATAAAATTTACGATAACGTTCAGATCTCTTACACATGAGTGAAAGGACATCACGTTCACTAATTTCGTACAAAGTAGACGCTGGCGAGTGTTTCCGTCACGTTAATCAATCTGCATATCACTGCGTAAGTTACAAGAAGGCTTGCTTTCACAACTATCTATTCAGTCAAAAACAACATCAACACAAGTGATTACAGAAGCAAATTTTGCGTCAATGGCTATGAAAAATTGCATACTTTATTTTGGCTACAGCTATACCTACTGCATACTTTCACTGTATTTGTATTTTATTACATATCATCTCACAATGTAAGGTACCTGTAGACCTTGAGAAATCGGCAAGTTAAACAAAGCACTAGCACAGGAAAGCTAGGTAAACATGGACTTTTATAGCGAAAATACTCAAGTTTCCGATAGATAATTTTTCTTAGCCAGCTACTAATTAGCGTCTATTTGACAGTTACGCGTTACGTTATCCTACAATTTGACATGGTCTATAATAGTGAGCCGGTTGTGACTCGGCAGGGTGAGAAATTTTTATCAAACTAGACGCTGGCTCAAAGTTGCCGTTTCGATTGAAAATAGGCTAAAAAAACATTGAGGCGAATGAAGTGAAAAATGTGTTTTACGTTTAAGACTAAAATAGTATCTTCTTGTCGGTTTGAGGAACTGAAAACGAATCCAAACCTCGCGCGACAAGCTTGACACGAATTCTAGTTAATAGCCGAGGAGAAGTTGCATCCATCGACAGTCAATGTATTTAGGAACCAAAACCCGATTGGATTTCAACAATTACACTTAGACCAGCAGCAATGAAATATCAGGTTGTGATGAAAACTCTTCGAAGGGTTTTCAGCAACCTTGTAAGTAGTGTATGTTTTACCTTTATATATGTATCGCGATATCTCGAATGTCGTACCAACTGAAACATGAGGCGGCCTTGTGCATCACTTGAAGGGAAACATCATAAACGAGAGAATCAGCAGGGTTCCACGTAATTCTCCCGTCGTGATCAAATGAGTATATCGCACTTATTCTCATTCCAAAGTTGTTGTTTCATTTCATTGAGTCTCACATCCACCAAGAACAGTTTTCTACGGAGTTCTATGCGGAGCTAACGGTCGGTGTAAAACCACAGAGCGACCAGAGCCGCCAAAAACTTGCGCAATTTTAACAACCACTGTGACCCCGACTCTTTTTCAGTGTCACACGTAAATGAGTAGGCCTATCGACCGGCGACTAGTTCTATCGCATAACAAGTGTGCAAACGAGGGTAGAATGGGACAACAAAAACAAGAACCAGCACCGACCGTATTCACAAATGTCTATACATTAATCAGTGAAAGTCGTGGGCATAAGGGTACGTTTTAAACAACGCTAAATGTTTCGGAATCGGTGGAGAACTAAAACAGTTGCACTTACATCTGGTGTGGTATAATAGATCAAACTGTTCTCCGTTAATACGAACCATCGACGTTTCCAGCTCCTCACACGGCCACCTGAAGCGAACAACAAATGGAGGATGGGTAGAAGAAGGATTGATCAGATTAAACATACAGATTTCATCACACACACACACACACACACACACACACAGTTCCGCTCAATGTTTAACAAGCCGGGGCCGGCGGTTCGTAACCAAGAGTGAACAGCTGTTTTGACAAGTGGCGACCAGCTGACCGAGGTAATCAATAAGCTATCGATATCTGGCTTATCGAATGGGCGGATAGAATAGAAAACAAGCAGTCAATGCACATACAGTTTTTACACATTAGCCTAATACTTTTTCAGAACGAGGCGCTCGGCAAAATGTTGTCAACTAAGATGTTGACGACTTGCCTCGGATGGCATTTTTGCGACATTCTTTTCATAGGACTCCCCTCCAATAAATGCAGTCGGCAAGTTATCCCAACACCGTCAGATTCTCCGGCGATCATCACAAACTTCGTCGCATTTATCAAAAAGCCTGTCCACTCTAGAAGTGAGCGCTCTACAAACTTATAAAACAGTGCGCGAATTCCTGTTCCCGACTAAATCACTGGGCCGATATATGGTGGTAGATTAATTGAGAACCACTTTGGTTTACCACACCTAGCACACACAACCGCTACTGCAGTGGACTGCTTGACCCAAAGTAGTAAATATGGTAATCTGTTATCGTAATTTATTGTTTAACACCGAAGGGGAAACAAATTCAACCACTTTCGGGACACTAGTGAGCGATCCTCGCAAGTGTTGGGTCCCCGGATTTCCTCGACGAGTAGCCCATCCAGCCCGTCACGAAGAGACTGGACCTAACCGTGGCGTGACGGTTTGCGCACCTCAGCGATCCACTGAGCTATACTGGAGAGTGTCCCGCGACACTCACAGAGTCTCTCATACCAGGTTGGTCAATGGTTAGAGGTCTGATGAACACAATCTCCTGGCCCTCCAGGTTGGGGGTTGGAACATGTGGCGACTTGTTCCGTAGAAATGATAATGCATTTGCATTTCCCGCCAAACACCGCTGCCTTGCGGTTAGGCTTTTGAGCCAAAGGCTTTGGTTGAGGACCCTAATCGTCCTCCTGTCTAGGTGTGGCGCCTGGCAGTATCCCAGCCCACGTACAACCATGAATTGCGCATACACAAATAAACTCATGCCACGTCGGCCGTCGCGTGGTGCCATCAGCCGGGTCGCCTTACTTGCTGCATACAGCAGGGTGGGTAAGCGAAAACAGGCTACTGCTGACGCCTCCCTTCTTTCTCCACACGCTTTTTCTTCCTCCCCTCCCCACCCCATTAATAACTCTCTCCTTATAGGCCCAGAGCCTCGACACCCACTCTATCTGGCCGCGTTCAATGTTCGCACTCTGAAGCAAGCAGGACAACAAGCTGCTCTTGCACTCACACTGGACTCGCTTGGCATTGATGTGTCTCACACTAAGTCCCTCCCCCATCCACTTTTATTCTTTTCTTTACAATAAGGCTTTCAAATAGATCATGGTTGTACGGCAGTGAAGCATCGGTGTTGAACACTGTTGAACACTGATGATGATGATGATGATGAGCCCATCCAGCAACTTGTTCGGCTATAAACAAGATTCCACAGCTTTGTTCACCGGGAAAATGGAAAACATGGACAGGACTATTAAGCGTCTGAATCGATGACCTGTTAATTTTATTGGTGCTGAATTGTACTGACGATGTTGGAAGTAAGGCGATCTTGATACAGGAGTGCCATTGGCTGTCGAATAGGACCATGGTTGTCAGTAAGACTGGAACATTTAAAGGTCCCCATCCAGAGGGGTGGTGATCATCAAAGGTTTATTCCACGAGTTATTCAAATGCACTATATCACAGTGTTCATCTTTCGGTCATCAACATTCAGTACATGGCTGGAAAAAATGTTCTAAAAGGTACTTAGTGCTCTGACATTTAGCATAGACCTGGTCAGCGTGTGCGATAGAGGAAACGACTTGGTGGCACAAAACAAGTGGATTCTGCCTTACTAGAGGTGCTGAATGAAGGATGCTAGGGAATGTCATTCACATCGTTTTCACGGTGGTTAAAAAACCCATGTTGCCTGATGAAGTAAATTAACATTTCTAACTTCAATGACCGTCCATCTGTCATCGTCAAAACCAGATAAGCATAAGCGCTGGTGTAAACGATAAACAATATCAACTTAGCATGCGCCTGACTCAGTCAAAACTGCGGTCTCGTTTAGATCAAGGCCTTCTCCAACAAACAGTCACACAAAAGGTATGTTGAGTGATAAGCCTGCGCTAATCCGGTCTCACATAAGAAAAGAAAGCGTTCAGCTGTAGCACCCTTCCAGTGCCTAGCTGCCATGCCACCCGAAGGAAGCACGAGGGCTGGGATACTGCGAGGTTGCCCAAGCCTAGACAGGGGAAGTCGAGTGGCGGAGGTCGGATTCGAACCACGGACCTTCCAGTCAGTAAATTCGCGCTCTAACCAGTTGGGCCGGTCTCACATAGATGTTTTGAAATAAGATACTTCTCTCCTAACGAATATATCTCTGAAAACGTGCATGGTGAATGATGGGAGAGTTTATTCTCTTTCCGAAACCCAATGATGTCGAAGCAGCAGCGCCTCGTCAATCCGACCGAACTGGGTTAATGTTACTTTTCTAGAGTGAGTGGTACGCCAGTTATCATTTTCTGTCTGCATATTTGTACTCCGGCAAAAGTGAGATTGGCAGTTGATCAGTACTATATTCAACAACCCCTTTCTGCGGGTTGTGTTGTCGACCTAGCTAGAATTTCAACAGTTGCACAGAAAAAGTTTACATGCCTAAAGGGGCCAGTGGCGTGTCATGCTACCAAGCAGTAATCATATCTGGGTGACGTCAGCATCAAAGCACACCAAGCCAGTCCGAAATAAAATGACAGTCAGCCAGTTGAAGGTTAAAAAAGGAAAGTCAACTCAGATTTATGTGGATAATCAGAAAATAGCAGGTTGAGAACTAACCAAGCTTCAGCAGCCACCCCTTCATGAGGACCTTGCCATTCTGACTGATACCATCCAAACCATCATCGGAAGCTGCACGGATGGGTTCGTTTTTGATATCCTGATACACTTTCTGTAAGACGCAAATAGGACAAACGAATTTCAAAAAGACGATACTCTTGTATCAACTTTTGTGATCTTATCGTCTCGTTCTTGTCAATCAGGCAAGTCATTAAACCGAGGGGACAAACACTCATACGACTTTTAAATGTGGTTGTCAAAGCTCTGTCGTGACTCGAGTCGACACATAAAGCATTCTGTAGTCTGATTTGGCTTCACATGCTATCCAGAGTATACAAAAAGTGCACGACAGAGGAAACGCAAAGTTGCCACGCGTGAAACAGTCCATAGGAGCGTGTGCTGCACCGACACTGGAACATGTAATTTAAAAGCAAACATTGTTTGCCTTGATAACAAGCAGTCCTCAATGAAGCAGTGACGTAAAGTGCACAGTCACGTGGTGGCTACAATCCTCGTACAAATGTCCAGTTGCATGTAAATATTCGTGAGAGATGGCTTATGTGCATTTTTAGGTTAATACTGTGCAACTTTATGACTGTAAACTAGGAAACTACGTCATGTATTCGATACTCTTGTGAAATAAAAGTTGTCCATAACTAGGCACACACATAAAGTGGATAAAATGCATGTGAATATATACAAATAAATCAACGTACTAATATATCAGCTAAGGTACCCCGGTTCGCATGATCATGCAAATTCAGGTAGGTTTTAATACAAAAAAGTCAACCAAAAACACTAACCCGTATGAGATCTTCTGGAAGGTCGGTTTCCCTGTCGTAGTCTAGCAGAGTACGTACGAACACTTTCTCGTCAGCTAGACCGAGAGTCTGGCTTTTAGCGTTTGTATTGTGCAAGGTCGTGTTGAGAAGAATGGCGGCGTACGCCAGAACGTATGCTTCATCTAGTTTACGTGGCAGGAAAAGTATAAGTTAGCAGGTAGGTAAACAAGAGGAACGCAGAAACTGCGAGTAAAAGACAGGTTTGGGTGAAGGAACTTGACCAATGTAACAAAAATCGCTCAGCTGAGCTAAGGTACCCGGTTCGCATGATCATGCAAATTCAGGTAGGTTTTAATACAAAAAAGTCAACCAAAAACACTAACCCGTATGAGATCTTCTGGAAGGTCGGTTTCCCTGTCGTAGTCTAGCAGAGTACGTACGAACACTTTCTCGTCAGCTAGACCGAGAGTCTGGCTTTTAGCGTTTGTATTGTGCAAGGTCGTGTTGAGAAGAATGGCGGCGTACGCCAGAACGTATGCTTCATCTAGTTTACGTGGCAGGAAAAGTATAAGTTAGCAGGTAGGTAAACAAGAGGAACGCAGAAACTGCGAGTAAAAGACAGGTTTGGGTGAAGGAACTTGACCAATGTAACAAAAATCGCTCAGCTGTAACACCCTTCCGGTGCCTAGCTGCCATGCTACTTGAAGGAAGCACAAGGGCTGGGATACTGCCAGGTCGCCCAAGCCTAGACAGGGGGAGTTGAGAGGCAGAGGTCAAGTTCGGACCACGGTCAGTAAATTCGCGCTCTAACCATCTTAAAAGCTACATCAGCGCTGTCACGAGACAGCAAGGAAACCTGAATCATCATAAAGATGTCTTGAGGTTTAGTAGCATGATTTTGTTAGGAATGGTTGTAATGCTGGCTGAAGTCTCACCTAGTAAGCGATGGTAGCAACAACAAAGATGGAACCTATCAGATAGAAGCTTGCTAGAAGGAACGCGTTTGATAGAACTGCGAATACCGAATGACGTCAACTATGACACTGTGATCAATTAGGGACTTTAGTAAGGTAATCACAATCATAATCAGCATCGTTGTCAGCTGTAAGCGCACTTGTCGTACAGTGGTTGTAGCTGCCGCAGTTTCGTTCACCAATGATTTGGGAGGGGGGTGATGATTAATTGGTACATCGTTCGATCGCTCAGCTGTAGCACCCATTCAGTGCCCAACTGCCATGCCACCCAAAGGAAGCACGAGGGCTGGTTAACTGCCAGGTTG